GGTTGTCTTTAATGAAACTCATCTGCTCTGTGGCAAATGCAGAAAGTTAATGGCTGAGTTCATATAACTAAAGACTTTTCAAGAAAGTCTGGCAGAGAAACAAAGGATGAGGGACTTTGGAGTATAGGCAAAAGTATTATAGAAATTATTAACCATTGACTATTTTATCTAAGACAAATAAAAAGGTATGTCCTGATTGGAGAAGGCTAATGGATTAGAAGAAAAAAAGAACAATTCTCTGATGAGAAGGAAGAGCAGCCATGGTGAAAATGGTCAAAAAAGCAAACTGGAGGAACTGGAGATTAGGATCAATGCATACAGTGCTTGACTTTATGATTTTTTATGTGAAATCCCAGTTTGAAACCATGGGCTGGGGCTACTAAAGCCTTTGAAAAACTCAAAAACATGACTGGGAAGTTATCAGGAAAAAGAGAGGAGAGCCACAACCTCAAGTATGCAAAAGACTTCTTAGATGATCACGGAGGCCAAGGTCTGGAAGAGTCATTGGAAAACTAGAAGGAACCAACTCTGCCTCAGCTCTTGAGAAGGGTGAAATCTGAGAATCTAAGTATCTTCTCTTTAACAAGTGGCATCTTCAGAAGAAAGCTAGGGAGAGCATTCTAAAATCAACATAGTATGTTTCTGAGTCATTTGGGCTGGGGATAAAATAGGTCTACTTCATCTCTGTATTCTCATTTCCTTTGTAATATAACTTTCAGGGATAAAAAGACTCTATAACAGTTTTGTTGCTGTTGTTGTTAATATAGGATTCTTAATTACAAATTTGGTTGTTATTGCTATAACCATAAAAAGAACATTCATTACTCTTCTCTATAAGTTGTCATTCATAAAGAACTTCTTTTCAGTATTTTAGTTTGGATCTGCTGACAACAAATATATGTTTTTTATTCATTTAAAGTATCTTTCTTTTGCTTCCACTGTTAAAGAATATTTTCACTGGTTATAGAATTCTAGGCTTAAAATGAATTTTCTCTCAGCACTTTAAAAATGTATTTCTATAGTCTGTTGGCTTTCATTGTTTCTATTGATAAGTCAGCTGTCGGTATTATTCTTGCTCCTTTGAAGGTAATACAGGAGATCTTCAAAAAAATTCATGTAAATGTGTATTAAGAAAAAAATTGTGTATGTACTTAAATATTTTTGTACAAGTTAATAAACTTGTACTGTAATTATATTTTTTCATGATCTTTTTGAAGTTCCCTTATATAAAATATAGTTATAAATTTTATACACACACACACACACACACACACACATGCACAGACATCCTAGCACTGCTAGGATTAGTAATTATAGACATGCCTCCTGACTAAATGGAGTAACCTCAACAGGTATGTTCTTTATTACAATTTACAGGTGAGGAGGATAGTTCTCTCCTTTTAAAAGCATTTATGTCTACAAAGCTCTGTCTTCACCTCTAGAAACACCCCCCTATCATTGTTATGAGAGCATAAACAGTTTTGCAAATAGTTGTATAAGATGAAAGAGCAGACATCACTGGGTGTTTGTTCATTTGTTTTTCCTTTTGCCTAATAAGGTAATAGTAATGATGATGTTCACTAAAATGTATAGATTTTCTAGGGACCAGGTTCTGTATTAGATGTTTTATATAAATTATCTATTTAATCCTATGGTATACCTATGAGGTAGTAAAGATAATTATTTCTATTTTATGCTTAGTGAAACCAAGACTTCAAAAGGTTAACCCAGCTTTCACAAGATTCCAGAGCCAGGAAGTAAATGGCACAAGCAAGTCTGAGCTCAAGACTTTTCTAACACCAAGGACCATACTCTTTTTCAACATTTTGTCCTGCCTTTTGGCTTGCCCTTGTGGTACATAACTTGTTTCATGATTTGACTAAGCCCTGGATTCCTGAGATACCTTTTTAAATAAAGTGTGAGCTAAGTAGTCTGAGGGGTTTACATGCAAATAAATTCCCTTCCTGGTACATTTTTTCTCAGGTACTTCCACATACTTCTTCCTCCCTCCCCCCTCCACACCCCAGGCCTACTTTGAGATATATATATATATACACACACACACACACACACACACACACACACACATATATATATATACACACATACACACACATATATATGTATATATAAAACATTAAATACTTCCATTTTTAACTTCTAAGGCAAGTCTGTAAGTTGTTGGTCTTTTCTTCTGTGTGTGTGTGTAAAGCTTTATGCAGGGACAGGAAGCAGTTAGCAATAGAGCTTTATTTTTGGAAAATTAGATTGGTAAGGGGAGGGCTGTGGGGAGAAATTGCTTTCTGCAGTGTCAGATGAATGAGTTATAGGAAATGGTAGCTCAGCCAGCCATGTGGTGCTTGTCAGTGAGTCAGCAGTGACTCCATCCTCAGCCTCAGTGCTGGGATCACAGCTGAGAAAAACTCTTCCTGGCGAGGCCCCCTTCCTGCTCTACTCTCTGGGACATACAGATTGTACCTGCCTGATGTGAGCCATTCAGTTACCTGTCATGCAGGAGAAAGATTCAGAGAACTATCTTTTCATTTTTATGCAGTTATTTCTACATTTCTTTAGGGTTGATTGGTATTTCTAATTTTTCCCTGACAACCAGCAGAATGATCCAGTTCTTTTCTGTCTAGAGGATGAAGTTTGGGATTGATGTCAAAGCAGAATCCAGTTTATAGGATAATATTTTGTAGTTTTGTATTACTTCAGCCTTCTAAGGCCTTTATAAATGGTAAAACATTAGAAAAGCAAGACAAGGAGACGTAGCTTCAAAAGAAGTGGCGACAGCCATCTTACAATTGAAAGCATGTGTGTGGGGCAAAACAAAAATATCATTGCGCTTTAGGGGTTAGGACTGCAGAATTGTTGGTGATTTTGTTTGTTTAATAAATAGACACAAGTTAATAAATAGACACAAGTTGCCAAATTTATTTCAAAGGTAGGCTTTTTTGTTTTTTGGTTTTTGTTTGTTTGTTTGTTTAGTATTTTTAAATAACTATTCATTTGAAGGGAGACAATGGCCTAGTGGCCTTAATATCTTAGATCATCAACTCCCCAGTTCTGCTCAGACTTCTGCAAGTCTACCCTATCAACACCCAGGGTTCTCTAGTAGGAAGTGGTAGGAAGGACTAACTACCCACAATCTGCTATACCAGGCTTTTAGTTCCTTTCCATCCTTAGGAGAAAATGCAGTTATCTATTTAATACATTTTATAGATTAAAAAAAAAATGCTCAGAGAGATGGAAGAACCTTTTCCAAGTCAATTGGCTAAGAAGCGGCAGAGTTCCACCCAAGTCAGACTGACTCCGAAGTCTGTATTCTTTCAACTCGAGGGCGAAAGGATGCTGCCTTAAGTTGCACTCCGTCATGCTTTGTGGAAGGCATTTTTAATGAGTTAACTTAACACTAAGAAAAATTTGAATGTAATATTTTCTTCTTGTAAAACTCAGATTCCAAAAGTCTGGCTTCCACTTTAGGTAGAGAAATATTTAGAGCACTACAAATGAGCACTACACACGTCTGTGTGTGCACATCTACGTGTTTGACAGCAAGTACGTAAAAGAAGCATCATAAGTACCTGGTAGGGTGTTGAGACTCCCCTGGAGTGTATGAGATACTGTCCGATACAGTAGCCAGAAGTGAGAATTTTGGTTGAGGAAGGGGTAGTGTTTGTTGCAAAATGGAGCACTTACAGTTTCATGAAAAATACCCAGTGGGACCCTAATTTATTTTCTCAGCAAGTTAATAACATTTAAAAACCTTTAAACTATTTTACAGGTATTACTATGCAATTAGTGGTATGTTATTATAGCTTTATTCAGATATTTACATACAATAAGGTGCACATACTTAATGCATAATTGGATAAATTTAACACTTATGAAATATCACTTCAATAAAGATGATGAATATATCCATTCACCCAAAGAGGTTTTTTTGTAAAGCTATATTTTTTAAAGAAAAAAATCCCAGACATTTATTTTCTCTCTCTAATTTGGTGAAAGAACCTGTAAAAGGATTTAGATGATGTGGGTCTGGAGTTCAATCTTGCCCTAACTAGCTCCATGAAATTCAGTGAGTCCCTTAATTTTTCCAGCCCTTAGTTTTCTCTTCTGAAAAATGAGGGGGCTGGACTAGACAGTCCCTATGGCCTCCTACAGCTGTAAAATCAAATAAAGCGAAGGGGACAAGCATACTTAGGGTATTGGTTAGTGTCTAAATGGTCTTCTGTAAAAATGTAGACCTCCCTAGCAGCTGAGTGTCAGCTGTGTTGCTTGGGCCCTGCATTGCTTTGCTTGATTGGTTTTCATGAAATAATTTCATTTCTTTCCATTCCCTTTCGCCCTGATTCAAGGTCATTTGTGTGACTGTTTTCATGTTGATCTTATGGAACTACTCTAGAATTTAGGCTTAAGGCTTGGGTAATGCTGGGAGTTTGGCAACACCTTGAGTGAAGAGCTGATGAGGGATGACAGGATCATCAGCTCTCTGGGTATTTTCAAGCCAGCTTGGGCATTGTATGGGGGGGCAGAGACAGGTTGTATTGGATGTATTTGGGGACTGGGGGAGGGGAAGCAGATTGGAGTTTAATTAAAATGCTGATCCCAACTTTGCCCACCTTCTTGCCAGGTCAGCAGGCAATATTTCTGTCTCTGGTTCTGGCAATTTTGCTGTGATGCCATAGGTAGTGGGTTACCTCAGTAATTTTTGCAAATTTGCTTACAACGTCATCCTGCTCGCCAGATGCTTGAGCCAGGCCTGGCAGGCTGCCATCTTTCACCTGTGTTTTCAGACACCTGAGCCACCTCTGCCAGCATTCCTGGTGGAGGACGGGCTTTGGAAAGAGCCATGGTGAAAACTGAGTTGGTCAAATGATGTGTAGTGATCGAATGTTTAAAAAAATAAGAATAATTAAAAAAGAAAATTGAGTTGGATACAAGTGAGCAGTTTCATCACAGCATAGAGATCATTCTAAATGGCTTCTGTTTTCCAGATACCTAAGTGGGATTTCTGAGGAGGGGCTGCGGTGACTTCGTCTCAGCCCACCATGAGGTTCTTCCTGCTCTGTGCCTACATGCTACTTCTGATGATTTCCCAGCTGAGGGCAGTCAGCTTTCCTGAAGATGATGAACCCCTTAATACTGTTGACTATCACTGTAAGTCATCAAAAAAACAGTCTCCGTGGGACCAGCAGTTAGCATAATGGCTATGTCGCTGGACTCCCATGTAGTCGACCACGGTTTGCGTCCCGGACCCGGTGGCTTAAAACTCACGCCGGGCACGTGTGCGTGTGTGCCCAAGATCCCGAGAGGAGAATGGAGGAGAAGGGATTGCGGCGTGGCCATCTCCCTGGGGGGTGATTTCTCACTTTCTGTCTCTCCGTCTCTCTCTGTCTGTCTGGTGAGCGCACGCACCCTATAGAGAAAACCTCTCAAAAGAAAAAAAAAATGTCTCCATTTCTGAGAAGGAAGCCTTCTTATTTTTCATGGTCTAAGCATTTTTATTTTCAGGAAGAGAATGATCTTTATATGTCTTTAAAATGTTTTGCATATTAATTTATCCATCACCATCTCGTGTTTGGAGAAAGCGGGACAGTTTTGTTGGGTACTTTTCCACAGCAACCCATATATAGCTTATATATCTTCAGTTCAAAGAAAAAAGACCATTTGCTGACATTCACCGTCTTTTATTCATTTATATTCAAGACTTTAAGAAAGGAATTTAGTTAAAACCCTTCTACAACTAGTATATACAGCTAATCAATGCTGTATATTGATTCTTCAGCTCCATAATCCTGACTGATGGTTTAGTCCATTTTTACTTGCAGATTCAAGGCAATATCCGGTTTTTAGAGGACGCCCTTCAGGCAATGAATCGCAGCACAGGCTGGACTTTCAGCTGATGTTGAAAATTCGAGACACACTTTATATTGCTGGCAGGTAATTTTCCTCTCGTTGGTTTATTAGATTAAAATTCTTTTCTCTTGTGGTGCTTGCATTAATGTGTCTAGTTCATGAAAAACTAATATGTGATTGTGATCAAAAATTGCAAGTAGCCAAAAATATTCACCGAAAAGAATCAGTGTTGTGTACCAGGAACAAAATACGGAGCTAAAGCCTTTAGCAGTGGTGTTTTATTGCTACCATCAAGAAATCATACACCATTCTTTTTTTCCTAAAGCAGCAGGGAGAAAAAAAAAATCTTTCTTTATTCTTTTTTAACTTGGAATTATTCAAGCAAATATTAGAAGTATGTCTATGCTAATACCAAGTAGCAGTTTGACCCATGCCTGGAGAGACACACTCTCTTTGCCCCCTGACTACAGTGAGATATAAAAGCATCTCACTAATGAAAAAGTACTCTTTGTTGACTTTGTTGGAGACAGAGAAAATCCAGATGATCTCCAAAACACAATAAAAGGCAGATCTGTAAAAATAAAATAAGAAGCAGCTTAACATTTTTATGCATTCACATGATATGACTTATTGCCTTATTTCCAACAGGGATCAAGTTTATACAGTAAACTTAAATGAAATCCCCAAAACAGAAGTAATACCAAGCAAGGTGAGCAATTGTAGTTGGCAAATTTATTTGCATTCCCCCCAAACTTGAATAATAATATCTTCCCTCTCTTCCAAAGATGTTGAGAGTTAAAAGTTGAACTTTGGTTTTGCTTGGTTAATACAGAAACTGACATGGCGGTCGAGACAGCAAGATCGAGAAAACTGTGCCATGAAAGGCAAACATAAAGTGAGTGGAAGTGCCCGCTAGACGTAGTCATTCTGTGGGCTTGGTACCCCAATGTCGGAATATGAAAAATCTAATATCAATGTAATTGTTGCTTTGTTTAGGATGAATGCCACAACTTTATCAAAGTATTTGTCCCAAGAAATGACGAGATGGTTTTTGTTTGTGGTACCAATGCATTCAATCCCATGTGTAGATACTACAGGGTGAGTATATTGTATATGTTGTGAATAAAAAAATAATAATAAACCCTTCTTCTTCACTGATGTGTCGATAAAGTTGAACGCTTTCAGCTATAGCCCAGTAATTTGTTTTATCTCTAATGCGATGGAAGGATTAAAACAGAATCCTTCACATTGAATTTCAATACGTATAAAGTGGCATTGCCTCCCAACAGGTACCCTGAACAGGTGTGACACAGCTTTTTCTTTTTCTGTTGTAGTTGAATACCTTAGAGTATGACGGGGAAGAAATTAGTGGCCTGGCAAGATGCCCATTTGATGCCAGACAAACCAATGTTGCCCTCTTTGCTGGTAAGATCCTTTAGCATAATGAATATAAATGATTAATGACATTGAAGGTTCAAAAAGAATTTAAAGGCAGAAAAGAACTCATACGTGGATAGCCACCTTGATATAGGTTTTACAAAGGCTAAAATCCATGAACGGATCTCCAGAAAAGAGGAAATGAGAAGTGAGAATATTTCAGTGCCTATTAAAAGTGTTCTGACACTTGGCTCTGTTGTTAAGTAGGCTAATGATTCTGAATAAGTTGCTTAAATTTTTGATGCTTAGATCCCTCATCTCATCTGTAAAATGAGATAATTCCATGGGCCAACCTGTCACGTGTTGCTTGTAAACATCAGGTGCAGGTCTACGTGTAAAGACAACGGAAATGCAGTTTGTAAAAGCCCTCTGACAGCTACCCCACACTGCACAGGCTAACCCACTGTAGGATGATTATGGTTATTTTACCAAAATTATAACTTCGGTTTCAGATGGGAAGCTGTATTCTGCCACAGTGGCAGACTTTCTGGCCAGCGATGCCGTTATTTATCGAAGCATGGGCGATGGCTCTGCCCTCCGCACGATAAAATATGATTCCAAATGGATAAAAGGTACCTTTCCTGCGCAGGGTCCTGGGGTCAACCAATGACAATGGGACGGTGTGAGTGAGAACAGCCTAGGCCACAGGAGCTTCGGGGCATGACTCTGTGTTGTGGGTTTAGGACAAGTGCACGCTGCTTCAGCTGTAAGAGCACTGAGGAGAATAGCAGTCATGTCAGGAGAGTGAGCTCATCCAGGTGTTTATCCCAAGTGAGCTCAAGAAAAATGGAGAGATCTAGTCTCACCATGCCGATTTATCTAACTACACGTAACACTGCTTGCCCACCCCTTTCTACCTGCCTTAGAGAGTTAGCAGTGAGAATCGATTCGTCCATACCTGCAGAGTCGTTTTGTTCTTCAGAGTCTAGAAATCAAGATTTTTTTTTTCTTATTCTTCGTATTAAGAGGTTTTCTTCCCTAGTTAAATAGGTTAATGAATAAATCTGTTGAAACAAAGACCTTTGCTGTAGTTCAGTCCCCGGTAGGCCTTTTTACAGTCCATTAGCTGACTTTAAAGACGATGGGTTCCCTGAAGCTTGAACACACCCATATTGGGACTTCTCGAAATTGTTGGTGTATCAAGTTCTCGCTGGCTGGAACATGACTATGTGACATCTGTCAGTCACGCCTAGTAGTTGGGGTCTTATGCTAATTGAATTATCCTTTAGGAATCAGTTTGTTTTTTATTTTTCTTTCAGAACCACACTTTCTTCATGCCATTGAATATGGAAACTATGTCTATTTCTTCTTTCGAGAAATTGCCGTAGAACATAATAATTTAGGCAAGGCAAGTATACGCACTTGACTCATATTGCTGACTTGTACCGCGTGGAATTAAGACCGCTTTGGTAGAGCTATGAATGCTCTTTTGGCATGTTTTCCGGCACTCAGCTCACTGCATGTAGGGTCAAGTACAGAGAGCTAGATTGCCTATATGAGAAAAATTGCTGGAAGAACACTTGAACAATGGCCAGAATAGGAACAACAACCAGGGGCCTTGACAAGGTTTCTTTTTCCCCCTGTCACCACGGAGAGTGTTCTACAGGGACCCTTGAGCTACAGATGCTTCTTTTACACTTTAGAAATCCATTGATAGCCTGATCTTTCTCAGTGTCAGAAGGCAGGAAAGAAAATAGGGGTTCAGTTCTGAGTGTTTGGCTCAGTCTCTGTGATTTGAACAAATTGCAACCCCTTCTGCATCAGACTTAGAGATGGCACATTTCATTAACAATACAAGGAGCAAAACTGGAGACAAAAGGCAGGAATAAGTCTTATTCAGCAAGTCGGAGAGCTCACTTCTTGGGGAACGTGTTTGGCAAAACAGGAAAACCATCTTTTTTTCTCACAGGTGAATCTAGCTTACATTATGACTTACACAGACCCCTAGAGAGAAGGCCGCTAGATTCTTTTTTTTTTTTTTTTTTTTGAGAGAGGGTTTTTCTATAGGGGGCGTG